TTTATCGCTTCTGTCAAATTCCCTCGCGCGAGTGAAACAAACTCTACCCGGCCAGGGATTTGAGACTTTTCGATAAAACAGCAAAGGGGAACGGATGGGGAACGCTAAATTTAATTGCCTGCGATGCGTTTGCGTGCCTGGCGAACGACAAAGACTGGATGAAGTCTGACGACGACGGGTTGAAGAGGAAGGAGGGTGTGTGTGTGTGTGTGTGTGTGTGTGTGTGTATGTGTGTGCGGTTGAATAGTGAGTAAGGCGCCAGGAGAACAACAAACCTCCACGAGACCGCGATGGCTGACGCTCCGTTCTAATGGCACCACTCAAGATGCAATATCGCTGCATGAATATTATATAGCATCCACACGACCAGCATCTGCCAGATACTCGCGTCTTTACAGCCATCTTAGACGGTCGTATCGTCGCGTAAGTCCGTCTGATGCACAGAGAGAGAAAGAGAGAGAGAGAGAGAGAGAGAGAGAGTGTGTGTGTGTGAGTGAAACGAATATACGTGTGTTTCGACGTCGCGGCAGGAGGCTGCCGCTTTCTCGGCTACAACCAGCCGCGTGTACCCACGTTTCTACGTATGTACCAGGGACTCCACTTAGCTTGAAAAGCTATGATTATTTCAAGGTGCACTCACAAAAATTGGCTGGCCTGCTGTGCGTTAGCCGGAGTCTCGCTCTTCAAGGGGATCGTTCGTACGGCCACCGTTTTTCGGCCGGCGTGTTGCCGTTTCCCTTTTTCAAACGTCGCTCTTGAAAGAACCCTGGCGGCCCTTTGACGCCAGATCGCCGGAACTTGATTTAAAGAGCACGCTTCCCGGTTAATGTCGGACGCTGCCACGAGTATCGGCTTTTTATTTCTCGTCCCGCCAGCCGAGATATGCTTGATCGCGTCGGCGATTTGTTGCTCCGGAATTTTCTCTCCGTGCGTTTCTCGAATGCGTTCGATCGAAAACTCCTACTGCTCTTGATTCTCTTTCTTTCTTTTTTCTTCTTCTTTTTTCGCATTCTCCGAGACGAAAGAGGATGAAAGATCAGAGATCAAGTAACGAGCAAGGGTTCACGCGACGCTGCCCAGTACGAAACGTATCGTTCTCTTCCTCTCCTGCGTAACTCTGATCCCAGGCGAGATTTACCCGTTTCACGAAATTACCAACTGTTCGTGGAACCGGGACGGCGCAACGTTTTAAATTACGCCGGATGACACACCTGTCACCGGTCTCGCTAATTTGGATTTCCAAAAGCTTCATGAAAATCTACCCACGCCGGCGTCCAGGCGTCACGCTGTAACACACGTGTGACGCATTACACGGCCGAAATGCTGGCGAGGAAATTTCGCCAGGCGTGTACGGCCCACGTCCCGCGGGCGCAACGTATTCAATTAATTGTTAACATGATTCACGGTCCTGCTAGAAGCTGCAACTTTCAAAGTACGTTTTAGTTACTTTGGCGAGTGATCAACGGCAAGGTTCCCTCTGAAAGTATATAGTATACCACGTTCGTCGAATGGAACTCTGGCGAATTAAAAGAGAAGCCTGTGCAGCTCACACAGATATCGTTTCGATCGTGAATAATTTCGTTCGAATTTCGCAGGCGAATTCAATTCGATCCGAAAGATCGTGGTGCGAGAATCTCGTGATAATTTCTGCAAGTTTGGACTGTGTTCGAGGCGACCGCATTCAGGTGGCGATTCACTTTCTAATTAATAAAACGCGTCACCTGGCTGTGAAAGGCGGCGAGTCTTCGCTGACGGGAACGCTCTCCTTCTGGCAACGAACGAAGTTCGAGGTTTTGAAAGGAGTAAGGAATTTTTGTGGAGAACGCTTTGATTCAACGTGGTGGCGACGTTACCCCCGTTTCTTCGAAGTGGAATGTCACCCGTGTTCCCGTGGTTTCGCGCATTAACATTTCATTCGCGCGAGACGAGTGGCACGGTGATTTCGAAGGATCCCGGCTAAAAGACGAGCTCGCGCGACCCAGTCAAATAAGATACGAACGTGTCGTGCGTGAAACATTAACGAGGAGTAAATACGTAAAGAGGCCGACGTACGTGGACTGATGAATAAGGAAATGGGCGCACGTACCACAGACGCACAGATAGCAGATCTGCGAGATCTCTCTACGAATCAACGTGGAGAGAGGGCCACGGCCTTTCGAAAACGGCACGAACGCAACAAATTTCCCCGTGGTTTTCGGGGAACGCGCGTTCGCATTGTTAACTCGCCATCGCGGGACACGCGTTTGGAAATCTGACGCGTTTACAGCGCAAACAATTTTAAATTGCCACGCGTGCGTCGGTGTGTGCTTTTGTCTGTGTAGTTTTCACGATCGTTTATCCACCATCGAGCCAGGGATAAAGTTTTATTACGCAAACGCTGTCTACACAAAATACGAGAATATAACTTCCACGGTTATTTACGCTTTTTTAAACAATACGAAAAATTTCATGTGCACTGCAAGTCGACTGCACTTGCTTGCGTTTTCATTTCGAAGACGAATCGGTTAACGTATCATTTCGCTTTCGTTGAGAGTGATTACAGAAGGAAGATACACTTGGAAAGGAAAGGGGGGGGGGGAGATAATCGTGATGCAGTTCTGTTATCACAATTTTCCATGCATCTACGCAAGAAGGCGAAAGAAGGCTGGGTGGGAGAGGAAGAGGGACGTTTTTTTTCATAATTTGCAAGCACCCTTGGTTTGCGCAGGGTCTGTTCTCGCCTCATTAACTGCGAATCAGCGGAACATAATACCGTCGGGTGAAAAAAGCGTCCAAGAGAGACAGAGCGATGCGGTGAGGGGGATGGTTAGAGAAAGAAAAAGGCGGGACAAGCGTGAGACAGGAAGAAGGGAGATAAAGGGCAAGATAGACGGGAAAGAGGAGAGAAAATTTCGGGACACGGAGTTATCAGGAGGAGGGCGTGGAGGAGGTAATAGCCTGTGAAGGGAGAAGAGCAGGAGGCACGCGGAGATTGTAAAATCGATGAGGTTCTTTCGCGCCTGCCGTACTACCTGACGTTCTCACCGTTTCTTTCGAAAGTCGTCGAAAGACGTCACGCTCGCGCGGCCCGCTTAAAACGCGACGAATTCTCTCGTCGCTCGCGATGACTCCTCGGGCGCCCGAGCTTCTCTCTCAAACACTGTTGAAAAAAGCCCTATTTCTGCAGCGAGAGTATAAACTCTCCGGGTCGCTCGAGGCGTCTTCCAAACTCGCAAGTTGCACCCACGGTTTTAGGGTGCGCGCGCGGGATTCGAAAGTTTGCGTTTTCTTCTCGTCGTGGACTCCCCTCGTTCTACCTGCGTTTCCACGCTTCCGCGCGAGCAGTTCCCTCGCCGAGAGAATTTTTTTTCGAAGCGACGAACAATTTGGGATAATGGTGGTTCGTTCAGTGGCGGCGGATTTATGTCCCCTGGGCTGCAAAGGCTCGGTATAATTCACTTTTCCCCCGGGATTTATGGCGCTCCCTTCTTGCGAATTGGTTTTACGTTCTCCACTTGTCCGTCGTCTCTCTCTTGCGTTTCAATCACGACGAGAGTTGCGAGAAAAACAGAAGGAAGATACCGTGCCAAGTGCGAGAGATCTGTTTAATTTTATCGCAGTCAGTTTGACGAAAGTTTACACATCGCGGACGGAGATAGCGTTTGTTGCTTTCTTCGCCAGCCAACTCTATTTTATCTCCTTTCCTCGTCAGTGGAACTCTTCTTTTCCCTTCGGGAATTTAAGAACAAGAGCACCCCTTTGCATCCCCGAGGATCCACCCATGTTTCATCCGCGCGCTGTTTTTGAATTTTGAATTTTCACGTGAGTCTCGAGCGTTGTATTGTCCGCGGAATTGTCGATGCTCGACTCTCTCTCTCTCTCTCTCTCTCTCTCTCGTTTGGACCGTAGAATCAAACAGCGTTTTGTTCCGAAACGCCGTTTTAACCGATTGCCCGCTCAGTCCGGGCGACGGCACGTCGCTGCGCGAATTAAAGGAAATTCCATGGACAGCCGGTCAGTGTTAAATTCCAAAAAACGGCGATTAAATTGTCCATCGGCCCCCTCCCCCCCTGTTGCTTTCACTTTTCGTCAAAGCGCGAAACGCGGCAGGCCGCAAAATGCAAGCACCGGCGCGGTTCCCGGATCGAATCGAGTCCGTGGGAAATCGGATCGGTTTTAACAGCGGATCGGAGGATCGACGAGGCGATGGCCACGCGCGCTTGTCGTTATAATAAATTTACGCTCGATACTGGTCCGCGTGGCGCCCGATATATATTCATATTTATTTATGAGGAATTTACGCGACCCTATTGATTTTTCGACGTTAACGCTCGTCGGCTCGTTATTCTAGCGCGGAACGTCCCTTTCAGCCTTTCGAGCGATTCCGCCGGCGAACAAAGCGAGCCTAGCCTATAGCCAAAGGCAGGAGTCCAAAATGGCTCGATGATCAATTCCCGCGGCATGAAGGGAAGAAGGGAGAGGAGGTGAGCATGATTTAAATATTAAATTAGCAGAGGCGCGAATTGAGAGGCTGCACACCGGTGCCAGGAAAAATAAATAAATGCCGGTTTCCTGGTGGACAGGCGTCTACGTGCGTCTTGGACGTATCCTGTCGAAGACCTGTTGAGTGACGCGAGAAAGTAATCCAAATGACGTGTAAAATATCTCGATACGAACGAGAAAGGATCTCACGCGTCGTGACCAACGTCCAACGTCGTAAATTGCACGTTAGCAACGAGGCGATCTGGAGATTGTTCGAGAACTATTAAGCTATTTAGCTTTTCATGGTTTGTGAATTGCGAATCGAGTACTCGAACAAACTTGAGTATTTAGGAAAACATTGGAACGAAAAGAAAATAATCTAAAGCGGGGAGTGTGACAGCACTTGCCTCAGAACCAACCATCGAATCGAAAGGATCGCGAATCATTTCGCAGAAATCACAATTTCTAAGATATATACGTATGATGTCGATACATGTAGTAGATATTCGTCACAGTGGAAACGTAACTTTTGATTTCAGATATTACTACACCGCCCTGTACGTACGTGAGATACAGTAGCCTGGAGGATGTGAGGCCGCAGGAGCTGGGATTCCATCAACTGGAGTTCACCCCCACCGTCGTATCGAAAATAAGGTAAAGAGTTGATTGACCGGTGACGCGCACGCGTTATCAGAGTTATTGTCGTAAAGAGCTTTGTTCTAAGCGTTTTTTGCATTGTTGCATTTTTATCATCGCTAATCAACCCTTTAAGCGCTCATCGGTTTATATATACACTCTCCTTAAATAGCAACGGTGTCGTCCGAGCACGCACGATGGGAAGCCTTTTCCCCTTTTTCCTCTCTCTCTCTTTTCTTTTGAAAAAGAGGAGAATTCTTCGAGGAGAAAATTGATTGGAAAGTAATTGTTCCACGTTCTATATACGCGTGCCAGAATATCTCAACAATAGTGTCACTTTTGCGAGGCGAACGGGAGCGTAACGAATCCAAAGTGTAATGAAATGTAAATAAATTCGAGTCGTCTAGGTATTCGTCGCGGTTTCTCTTTTCGGTAAGTCTCCCTAATCGCCTGATTACTTACGCCACGAGCAAATTACAAAGCGTCCCTTTAATTCACCAGCGTTCAATTAATTGATAATCGAGGTTGGAGCACAGTTGGAATTCAATCGAGCTGCTAAATTTACCAACCAGAAGTAGAATTTCCTTTTCAGAGATAGCAGGGAGAAAGGTAGGAGTTGCTCGCGTCTTTTTAATTATTTACTTGGATCGAAACAAATTTTGCTCGCCGAGCGGATTTCCCGTGGAAAATTTTCGTTTGCAACGCTCGCGGAATTAAAACGTCGAAACGTTTCGAAACGTTTCGAGGGTGGATCGCGAGAAGAAAATCCGGCAGCGGGAATATCATAAAAATCAAGGGTGCACCGGGCGATTATTTACGGTGGAGGAGCTAGCAACGGCACGAATAGGAATTAAACGCGAACAGCAGTTTAACGCGATAATTAATTCGAAATCAGCAGAACCGCTCGCAGATTAACAGACATCCAAGCCCCGGTTTTAGTTGTCTCGCTCCAGTTTGCGCTTGCAAGCCTCCGCCCCCCCCCCTCCCTCTCGCTCTCGTCTCGTTGCCCTACCATTTCCACGACTCCCGGTCGTGTAGTTGCTGCAGATAAACGCGAATACTTCATAAGCTCGTAATCCTGGAACAAAACGCCCGCCAAGAACAAAAGGATCCGACCGTGGGTCTCTGTCTCGCTCGGCCTGCTTCCTCTTTCGACTCGCGTTCTCGCGACGCGACCCTCTCGATACGCGTTGGCAACAACAACCTCTCCTCCACAGAGGTGGGGTTCGTTTCTTTCGCTTTCTCCGTCCATTTAAGTAAGTCTTAACCAAGTCGCGAATAACCCGGAGTCGGTTATTAAAAGTCACTCCTCGCTGGCAACGAGCAGAGGACCTCCAGCTGCCAGCTTTACTCTCCGCCTTTTGTTTGCGACGCTGAATGGATCTGATGTCGAGAGACGGGGAGGGTTAATGGTTTACGCGCAGCGGGAGTGGCGGATGGCCTCGGGAATTTTTCGGACGCGTTTCCTCCGCGATTTCTTTCGACGTTCCTCTCCAGATTCGGGGACGGTACGAGAGAGAAATCGATGGGGGATACGACGAGAGATCTCCGAGAATTCTTTCTTTATTGTCGGAGAAAATACTCTCGTACTTCTCGGGTTTGATAGAACCGAGCTAGACAAATAATTTGAAGTTCCTTTTGTTGTAAAAAAAAAACGAGACTGAAAACAGTTGCTTCATTTTTTCTTCTTTTTCTTTTTTTAATGATGGAATCTTGAAGATCATTGCTATCTTTGGGACACATTTCTTCGTAAGAGAAGAACGCGAAGGCGTGTGTTAGAAAATAGGTTGTCGAACGTGTCGCGAGAGAGAAAATACACGTCTCGCGAGTATCAGCTGTTTTATTTAGACGACCGTTTCCGGTTTCCTGGTTCTCCCTGCCAAAATTCACGTTCAGTATTCGCGGTGGATATTTACTTTAGGCGTTACTAAAAAATACACGCCACCGCGAAAAATTCACGGGAGCGAGAAACTCGAGTTCGAGCCGGTGGCGCCAATTTTCGGCAACGTTCGGCCAACTGCGCCGCGAAAAAACCGATGAGAGCCAAGTCCGAATATTCCCGTATCGTAAATCATTATCAGAGAACATGATCAGCTTTTCGATCGCGAGTACATTGTACCCCTGTGTTGGACTGTAGCAAAAATAGAATCCGCCTGAAAATCCCATTTTCCTCGGATCGCGCTGAACGTCAAGCATCGCTGCCACCCGAAACGAAATTACGAAATGGTATTAGATATAGGCTAAAAAAGAAAAAAAAAAGAAACAAAAGAAAAAAATAATAAAACTAATCTTCGCTTTGAAACCAACAATCTGTAAAATTTCTTTGATGGTGCAAACATGGCGATCAATCGTCGGGTAAAAACGAGGATTTTGGAACGTTCAAGTTTTCTTTTACCGGAACTACGCCGGGCAATTTTCTCGTGAAATATGTTCGCATTTATGGAGATTGTGTAGTTCGTGATTCAGCCTGATACCTTTATCCAAGCTTAACTTCTTTCTTTAATTTTCTTTTTTGAACTTGACATCGTGATCAAGTACTTGTGTGTGTGTGTGTGAGAGACTCGTATGTACGTATTCGTGTTAGTAATATTACGTTTTAACATACTTGCCTGCGTTTTAACGAATTATAGAAATTTTCACGTTTTTTAGCAAGTTTTTAAAAGTTTCACGTTTGTTTCACGAAGTGAGCAAGCAAAGTAAAGACTGAATGGATGTTATTACATGGCATTAACGACTCGATCATCGCAACGGTTACAGCCTCATAAAGTCTTGGCAAGCCTCAGCGATGATACATCTTGTAATCTCTTTTCCTCGAGGAATAACGGAGTTCCTCTCTCGCCCGCGGGCCATAATCTATTTCTCTGCTGCATTTCTGCGCCGCTCTTCTTTCTCTCTCACGCCCACTCTTTCTCTTTCCTCCCCGTAGCTTCATCGCGTTCACTTTCCGACTTCTTCGCCGGTGCAGCTGAACCACCGTGTCTTTATCCTCTCGAGGGAGGTTTATTCTTGTTAGGTTAAAACCAGGAAAGTAGCGGCAAGCAAAACACTGGTTACATTCCCGTTCCGCCGCGGAGTAGCTTCCAAGATCGCCCTCGTTGTTCCATTCATTTGATTTAATCGACACCGATGATCGTTTCATTAATTCGCACTTGACAAACACGCATCACTCGCTTTACTTCAACGTCGAAGTTAAAATAAAAAAAAAAAAAAGGATAACGTCACATCTGTGGAAAGAAAAATAAAAAAAAAAAAGGAACTGAAGAAGACCCTTCTTCAATTATCCTTGTTCCGTTTGTATCAGGAATTCAATGAATTCGACGGATAACAGTGTCAATCGCAGTTGAAGATTCTGGTCCCTCCGAGACGGAACTTTGCACCCCCCGAAAATCAAATCTTAGATTCAACCTGTCTGCTCGTTCTATCTGTGTCAGGGTGGAACGACAAGCCAGTCGGTCGCTCGACGAGGGAAATCGGTATTAAAGGATGAAAGGATTTCGTTTCGACGTATTTTGCCTGTAATCCAAGCGGGCCACCCCCAACTGGTTTTCTCTACTCTCTTTTCTTTTCGTTTCTTTTTTCTTCCCCTCCCCCTTATCGCGGTCTGAAGCCGAGAACTTTTCGAGATTCTATAAGCTCGCTCTTCTTTCACCCTTCTCGCCCCCTTGCACGGGGATCAAGCACGATTTTCGGCTACAAAGATTGGAAGTCGCACTGGCCGTTATTTCACCCCTCGAACGTGCCATTGTGCGCGAAATCTTGGAACAAGATGGCCAATGGTCCTTCTTCTTCTTGTGTGCGGTTACACAGACCGCACTTTTTCTCCTCCTCGGAATTTGGAAATTCCGGCTCGGAATCAACACCCGGATATTACCAGCGGCGGCAAACTGAAGATACTTCTTTTCTTTCTCGGGCATATTTCTCTCTCCTCGGACGCGGAGAGCCCTCTGCCGCTCCATGGAAATCCGAATTGATCGAACAGGGTGGAAAGCGCCCTGAATCTATCTGGAATTCATGCTGGACCAGCTCGTCGATGATATCAATGGTACAGTTTTCTGATTGAGTGTTAGTGTCAGCTCTCTGGAGAAGAGGGAGAGAGAGATAGAAAGATGGAATTGAAGAATTGATATCGATAGATGGAAGCAGAATTCTATGAAATTGTACAATTGATATCGATAGATAAAAGTAGAATTGTTATTCGAGAATTGATGGAAACCAGTATATGGAAAAAAAAAAAAAAAATATCGAACGTTAATTGTTATGAAAAACCGGGAGGGAGGGGGTGGAGATGGGCAAGTGGAAGAAGGATAGATGGTTCTACACGAAGGGTAATGAATTTTTTTTTAAATCGTCGGTTGTTTCGCTCTTATTTTTGAAATTTCTATTTTTTACGTCAAAATATGAACTCAATTATCGAGAAAAGTTAATAGATGGCTGCTTACCTCCCGCCACGGGAGCTTCCTTTCATATTTTAGCAAACTTCATCGACGTTCGAGTCTTTTATCGAGAAAATGGCATCCTGATCGATCATTATTCCTTTATTGTTCACCGTTATAGTCTTCTCCTCTCGGCGAAAAGGAACGATGAGCGCGTCCCTTTTATTTTTGATACGCCGAATAATCTTTAATATCACGAGGAATCGACGATCGTTCCTTTTCGCAGTTCCTTTTCTTTTTTTTTAAACATTGGACCAATATTGTAACTCGTATCGATATAGGAAAGATTTTACCTCTTTCTTTCTGTTCAAAGATCTTTCCTCTCCACGTAATCGACTGGCCGATATTCCGCGATATTTTCCCGCTGTCGATGACATTTTACACAAAAATCGAAGATCGTCGCGCCGCTTGTTATTACAAGCTTCGCTAAGGGTTCGCGCGCAGGCTATAAATTACTTTCCCAACGAGACGTAGTCGACCACAGACCCGTCAATAATTCATCGCGGACCTGCTTTCCACCGAAAATCCTTTCACGTAGACGTACAGGAAGAGAGAGAGAGAGAGAGAGAGAGAGAGAGAGAGAGA